TTTTCGTTTGAATCTGGACTTTGTCTGATTTTTAGAAGCTTATTCGCTGTAGGCAAACTTCCGGACACCGGGCAAATGAACTACAAGCTTTAAAAAATTCCAACTCCGAAATTACTTCCAGCATTAACTTGATTTTTTAACACAGCAGAACGAAGTGTTTGAGCTTTAAAGTGACAAGATTTCGTTTCTATCCGAGCTTGGGTTGATTTTTCAGAAACTTCCTCATTTGTAGGTAAATTGCTAGAATGCGTAAAACTGAACCGCGACCCTAAAAAAAAAACCCACTCGTAAACTGGAGCAAGTATGAACTTGATTTTTTCGCAGATTAAAATGAAATATTTCAGCTTTAAAGCGACAAAATTTATTTTCAAATCGGGTTTCAGCTGATTTTCCAGAAGCTGCTTCACTTGTAGGTAAATTGCCATATTTCGTAAAACTGAACCGCGATCCTTAAAAAACGCCAACTTCCAAATATCAACTTGAGATTTCAGCACCGTAGAAAAGGATGTTTGAGCCTCAAATTGGCAAATTTTCGTTTGAATCTCGACTTGGTCTGATTTTTAGAAGCTTATTCACTGTAGGCAAACTTCCGGACACTGTGCAAATGAAATACAAGCTTTAAAAAATCCCAACTCCGAAATTACTTCCATCATCATCTTGATTTTTTAACACAGCAGAACGAAGTGTTTGAACTTTAAAGTGAAAAAATTTCGTTTCTATCCGAGCTTGGGTCGATTTTTCAGAAACTTTCTCACTTGTATGTAAATGCTAGATTGCGTAAAACTGAACCGCGATCCTAAAAAATTGCCAACTCTTAATCTGATGCAAGTATAAATTTTAGCACGGTGAAAAGCAGTATTTGAACTTTAAATTCACAAACTTTCATTTGAATGTGGGCTTTGACAGAGTTTCCAAGCGCTCCTTCACTGCTGGTCTGCGTGAAAATGCACCGCAAATTGAAACAAGCCGAAAAACTCCCAAAATAGTGCAAGCAACAACTTAATTTTTTCGCATGGTCCAAAGGAGTATTTGAGCCTCAAATAGGAAAAAAATAATTTGTATCTGGCCTTGACTGCTTTTTCAGAGGCTCCGTTACTTGAAAAAGCCAAACAAATTCTCTCAAAGTCGAAAATCTGTACGGCGTCTGGTAAACTCTTTCAGACCTCGCAGTTCCCCTAAAACCGACTTATATTGGCAAAGTAGCATTTCCAGTCTATGCGGAAAGTGTTTGATTGGAAACCCAATTAAGCCTGTTTTTATCATCTCATTAAAGTGTAGGCCTCATTAAATACCCTAATCAATCAGGATGATTAATGGGAAATACGCCGGTAAACTTATAGACACAGCCCGGAAAAACGTTATTTTTTAAATAACAGATTGCAGTAGAATGTTGCGCTCGAAGACAGATTGGCTGGAACTGGTAGATTTGTAGTTTCCCATTGAAAAAAAAACCTCACATACAAATCTTTTAAATGAAGGTTGTAGACAAACCCGAAAGATTATAGATTAATTATCGCACTCTAAATCAGAGTTTTTCTAAATTTTGACTCCATTTTTCAGTGTTCTACATCAACTGGAAAAGTCACTCCACAACAATGTTCGGTTCGGAATCGCTGGCGAAACTGTTTGGCAGATCAACGAGTTTTCTTCTTCTACTGCTTTACTTCGTCGAACCGTCTGCTTCAGATGCCACACCCGAAGATTGGGTGCCGAACTCGTTAAATTTCAACTTGAATGGGGAAGACAACACGTTCATTTCGGCCTATTTGAACGTCACCTTCAAGACTGATCATGGCTGGAAATGGGACAAGACGGACGTTGGAAGATATGGAGGAAGTTACATTGGTAAGAGCAAACCATCGCAAAAATAATTCAGCTCGGGATCACCCCTCGTAAATCGGCGAAACGAATCAAGGCCAATCCGTTGCCAAGGTGATGACGATGTGTCTCTCGCTCGCACCCGCATTATCGGAGAGAACCGACTGATCCGCGATCAGTTCAAATAGGGTCGACGCGCTACGGGGGTTCGGCCCAAAGTTGTGCAAGTAAGTGAGATAGGATAGGAATCATTAACCCGTTTACTTGCACGACAATGCTGAAGATTAACGGTTGTAGAACTTCGCATTCATAGCGTTGATGTTTATTTATTGTGCAAAGTGCGTTGTTCTTCAAATAAATGGGAGCGTCTTGATTAATGTTACCCAAACCGATCATTAAACCATGACAATCTGCGAAAGATTTTGCGGATTTCAAAATAGCGGAAAACCCCGCACATGTGATGGGATAAAATGCGCATCCTATTCCGGATATGCATCGGCTTCAGACATCGTAATGCGAAACAAGTCGGAATCAACCTGCTGGCCGTTGAAAATTAAAATGTTGTGCACGTAGCCAAGCATTATTATTTGTAAACAGCAATGGATCGGAATTATTTGAGACTTCCTGCAGGTGTGAAATTGCTTATGGCACCAGACAACGTTGCAAACTGTTCTATCGGAAAATTTCCTTTCCAGGTCCTGCCTACGGCCTGCTGGTCCATGTCACATCCAAACACGACCAGGCCGATCATTTCGGCTGCATCTATCCGTACGACAGCTCCAGATCGGATGGGAAACTTCCCCATTCAGGTAGAGTCGTTGTTTTCCCCACACTGTCCCACTCATTATGCAGTTTTCCTCGTTGAATTTCCAGAACTTTTGTTCCAGGCACTCCATGGATCGCTCTGATCAAGCGCGGAAAATGCAACTTTGACGTGAAAGTGGACAACGCGTTTAAGAGCGGAGCTGGCGGCGTGCTGATCTACAATGACCGAATGGCACCGACTTTGGACAAAATGAAACTTACAAATGATCCAAGACGTAAGTTTC